GCTTCTGGGGCCCTTTTTGACAATTTTTGGGATCTGTTTGAGAAAGTCCCAAGTTTCGAGAAGGTTTTTGATGCGGGAGTTTTTTCTTTTTCTTCCGGTAGTCGGTGCCCATCTAGACAGCAAAGAGGAAGGGTGGCATGGCGAAGTCAGGACATCTGCGCTGCTTTTCGAATCTCAACAAACTGCTGCCCCGCGTTTCTGGCGTCCTTCGTGTCTTTTAGATTGGCGCGCTCAGATAGAGTCGGCTCATAGAATCTGAAGCTTCATGATTAGCAGGCAATCTGAAATTTTCTTCACTTGTGCAGCAGCTGCTTTGAGTTTACGTTGTTCGCAATAGTCCATGTGACTGACTGGGCAGAGGCCAAGCATGGAATCCTTCGTATGTTGCTTAATACATGGGCCTAAACAATAACTCATGTCATGGCCCACATTCCTAGTATAATGATGGTCTAGGGAACTTCAAACAGTTTTTGGGCCCTTGCCTGCCAAGTGACTGTTCAGTCTCGATGAAGGACTGAGTCTGCTGACAGGTGCCTAAACACTCCGTTTTTAATGCAAAATCTGAAAGCTCTGAACTCAGAACAAATTAGGAACAAAAGCATGAGCATATGCATTCTGGAGGGTTGCTGATTGATATTTTATTGCCTACATTCTTGTTTTGGCCCATATCGGCCAGGTAGGATCTTCAATGTTGTTCTACGGTATGTTTGCGCAAAAGCCATAGCTGGCCCGAAGCCCTAGTCCCTAAACCCCTTCCTCCGGCTTAGTTTGGAATCCCCTTGGTAGCTTCTCTGCAACATGACATACGAAGCCTGTAGCAGTCCTTCAATCCAAGTCCCTACTCAGGCCGAGTACGATGCGTAATTGCTGCACAAGCTAGAAGACAATTCTTGCATGCATTTCGGTGTCAGGTTGATAGTAAAAAAACCTCTAAACTTATGCCGTAGAACTTGGGGTTTGGGGGGCAGTCTCGTATCATAAGTTCGCTCCTCAGGAGTTTCGACCCCAAACCCTAAACCTGGGGCCACTAAGGGGGATGCCAGGAGTATAGACACAAGACTGTAGCCCAACTGTCGGCAGCAAGGTCTCGCATAACGTGACGCCCAGCGATCCATCAGGTCGACCACCAGATGCCGGGGTCTCGGGATGGGGCTATTAGGGTTTCGGGCTTAAGGTTTAGGGCTAAGAGTTTCGGACTTAAGTTTTAGGGTTTAGGATTTAGGCTTTAGGGCTTTGGGCTTAGGGTTTAGAGCTTAGGGTTTAGGGTTTATAAGGATAATACCGCAATAATGGGTCTAGGGTTTGGGGTCTAGGGCTTATCGGGATAGTACCCCAACAATGGGTTTAGGATCCATCGTTTTTTTCCCGGGTTACATGTGGAAATTACCCGAGTAGTGGAGGGTGAAATGGAACAGAAAAAGGACAGGACGTTTACACTAGACGTTTATGGGAGGTTTTACTTTGTGGATGGAGGAAATCTTGCACCACCCAGGGCCCTTACACTAGGGTGTTTCTGGGTATTCGTGGGGTCCTACAGTTTTCCAGGGGCCTATGGAGGGAGCCCTGCCGGAGACTTTCTTCTCCTAATCATGAAGCGGAGACAAAGACTCTCAACAACCATGGGGGGTTTTCCAAAATTAGGGGTATTTTTTTTGAGGGTTCCCATAATAGAGAGCTTTGTATTTTGAGATCTATATTGGGGTTCCCTATTCAGGGAGACTACCACACTGGCCTTCTCCTGAAGAGCTTCAAGAAGTCCAGGTCAAACTTTCATGTCGAGTCCAGGCGGAACTGCTCTAGTAACCTTGAGCTCGCCCTCCATGGCTTTCTATGGGAGGGGTTGTATAGAGTATAGAGTTAAGGGATGTTACCTGAATAGTAGAGAACCAAGTGGGAAAGAACATGGAAACTTTGATTACCTATGGGAATGTTTGCTGGATGAGCTCCTTGAGTTTGCATGTTGCGAAGCTCTGCGCGTATTTAAATGGGGGTTCACCAACATGGATGAACCCCTGGGGCCTCTAAGAACTTACCTCACAAAAGATATCGCTTTTTAGCAGGATCCCAAAAGCAGCCCCTATATAATCCCCAACCAGATTTTGGCTTGCATTGCATTGTGTGTCCATTCCTCCAGTCCCTAGTATCAGCCAGCAGTAAACCCGAAACCCGAAGCCCTAAACCCTAAATGCTAAGCCCTAGACCTCAGATCTTTAACCCTCAACTCTAAACCCTAAGCCCTAAAGCTTGAACCCTAAACCCTGAACCCTGGCATTTCCAAGGTGAACCTGCCCGTTGTGCAGGGTTGGCTGCCGCTTCCGAGCGCAGCTAAGACAGAAACCTTCAAGGATTCTGGGAAGCATGGAACTGCTTACTGGTTCTTAGTGGGAAATATGGGTATATACACACACAGGGGTCATTTAGGGATATGTAGGGATAATCGGCAACCATTATTTAGGGTTTAGTGCTCAGGGGGGAACATGGGAGTATATTTTGCCTCTATTCCCAACAAGGAACTAGTTTAACTGGGAAGCACGGAAGTGTCATGGTTGTGCATCCAAAAAATACTCTAGAACCTTGACAGAATTAGCATGTAGATGCTTGGGGCCCCCAGCCCGAATCCCCAAACGCCACTGCACCAGCACTCAGCCAGTTGTGTCGGCAGCTTCCCAGACCGCGCCGAATAAATATTCCAGTTCTTTTTTAGTTAATGCTCCGTTGATGGTGTAGCAGGGGCGCGGTGATTATAGACTTTCCCATAAAAATGAAACCCCGAATTTTGAAAGGCCCCAAGACCAGTGGAGGCAGTTGCTCAAACCGCCCCTACACCCTACAATCCCTACAACCCTATATGGGCCACCAGGGTATATAAGGGGTATAGAAGGACCCCAAGATTATGGGCCCATACTTTTAACCTTAGATTGGGAAGCCATTCCCTGACCCTAAACCCTAAATCCATACCCTAAATCTTTCACTTTGGGAGGACCATCACCTGGACCGGGTGTCTGAGAACTCAATCTCCCAGATATCCTCGAACGTCTCTGGGTCGCCTCGAAGGTCTTCCAAGGTCTTGCGGGCAGTAGCTTGGCTCTCAGCTCAGACGGACAGCTTGGGGCTTAGGCTTTGGAGTTTCAGGTTAGGTGTAGGGATGTCAACCCCCAATAATACAGGAAGCATCAAATGGAAAAGAACATGGACAAGGAACTGGACATCTGGGGTTCTGTAGGGTTGATATACAAGATTGTGCATGACCTTTGCATACTAGAATGCCATAGCCCCCAAGGTCCAAGATACCTAGGGTCATGTGGGATTTCTAGTATCAACCTTACAAACATTTTTTGGGCACGCTTTAGGCCCACAGCGCCAACATTAGGCCTAAAGCTTGTGGGCGTGTAGAGGAATCACGTCTCTTTGAGCACTATACAACCTAATCCGCAAAACTAACACTAACCCCAGAGGCGCTCTTGAACTAGATCAGTTTTGAGCCTGTTTTGGGCCCATTCTAGTGCACCATTGCAATCATTGCAATCACAGCATGTTACATGTTACGGAGAACCAGGATGGGAGGCAAAAGGGCAATCCTTAAATCTTAAAATTTGGTGAGCATAGCCACTCAAGACACAGAAGCTGCCTGACGAACTGTCATTCCTGTCGTGGGCCTATGCATCAGAAATCTACGGCGGACGTCGACAGCTGCGTGTGATCTACGACGACGTGGGTCGTAAACAGTTTGAATGAAGGGTGAGGGGCTACTAACCATGGCTACAGTCTTGGATTTCAGAGCTAGATAATCGAGTTGCTGTTTGATAGTCATTGCTTGATTTTGTCATGATCGTTCTGGCGGTTTGGGGCTATCGCGCTCTCATTGTGATCCGCTGCAGCCTAAATGTCTAAACGCGGAATTCTAGAGCATTTCGGACCCTAAACCTGTACAGAACCAAAATGTTTTTGTCCTTGTTGTTTGCGCTTCTGTTGGACAAGGAATCCGGCACGGCCGACCGAGCGGAACCGGCAAAATCGGAGGAAGAGAAGGACTCCCTCTGTTGGGCACACTACCATCTCACCGGAACTCACCTGAAACGGTTGTTCAGGTATACTTGGTTTCCAGACTTCCCTGAATTTGGGGTATGTGGCATCATGCAGGATGTCGTCCATCGACGGCATTCTTGTAAAGCCCTTAATGGTGAACCTGAACCCAACACCCTGAACCCGAGTCCCTAGACCATAAAACCTAACGCCTGAACCCTAAACCCTATTCTGAGACCCTAATCCCTAAACCCGAATCCCTAATCCCTAAACCCTAAATCCTAGTCCCTGAACTGGCTCTAGGGTTCGGGCTCTTGGGTTTGGGCTTTAGGGTTCTGGCTCTAGGGTTCTGCTTTAGGGTTCGGGCTCTTGGGTTCGGGCTCTTGGGTTCGGGCACTTGGGTTGGGCTTCAGGGTTCTGGCTCTAGGGTTCTGCTTTAGGGTTCGGGCTCTAGGGTTCGGGCTCCAGGGTTCTGGCCCTGGGTTCGGGCTTTAGGGTTCTGGCTCTAGGGTTCGGGCTCTGCGGTTCTAGGGTTTGTTCGGCCTTGAAAGACCGGGCTGTAGGATTTTGGGCCTTGAGGGTTTGAGCTTTAGGGTTTGGGCTTTAGGGCTCAGAGCTTAGGATTCGGGATTTTGAGCTTTAGGGTTAAGATTTTGGGTGTAATTTTCTGAATGATGTGGGGCCAATGGGCGGGTGGGTATTTTTCTTTTATTGGATAACGTTGCTGAACAAGAGAATGCTTGGACTTGAGATGCTGATCTTCAAGCCCTAAACCCTAATCCCTTAGACCCTATCCCTTTAAACCAAATCCCTAACCCTAATCCATAAAGCCTAACCCAAAGACTAAGCCCTAAACCCTACGCTTCTACACCCTATAGTCCCCTTAAGTAGATAGAACAAGGGGTATTTGGGGATCTAATTATCATATATCCAAAGCCATATTCTATCTACTTAAGGAGGATTGTAAACTCCAGGAGGCGAGGCCAGCAGATCTCGAGGCTCGGGAGCCTGCGCCGCCGCAGGAGGCGGAGGAGCCACGGCTGGGGGTTTAGGCTCTGGGGCTTAGGGATTAGGGTTTAGGGATTAGGGTTTGGGGTTTAGGGTTCAGAGATTAGAATTTAAGGTATGCATTTAGGGTTTGGGGATCGGGGTCTAGGGTTTGGGGGTGGGGTTTGTAATCGTCAGCGTCTCCAGCGTTTAGGTTTTTGGCCCGTTTTGGCTTCTGGAGCTGGATGTCTCTCCAGAGTATGGGATCAGGGTTTGAGGGTTTGGGGCTGATGATAGTGAGACTGAACTTGTTCAGCCACTTCATTTAGGGGATTTCTCAAAAAAGGGTTCAAGCTTGTTGTTTTGAGCCTAAAGGACGTTTTAGGGCTGCCCGTGATTGAAGAGTGCCTGAACAAGTGTTCGTAAGAACAATTTAGCGCATGTTCCATGCGACGACTTGGGGTTTCTGCAAGGTCCACCACATTTCTCAAGTTCTTGGTTTAGACAGTTACTGTAAGTGGGAATGACCCAGCCATTACCCCAGGAATACTAGGTGGTGGATCGGTGGATATCCGTACACTTACGGTACACACATGCTGTGTCTGGTACGTCAAGAAGTCACCCTCGTGTTTAGCACATCGAATCACTGCTCGCCTGAGATAGTTGACAGATGTGTATGGTATGTCCAGCATTTTGGGGAAGTTGTATTTGGGGGTGGCGGGTGCCCGACCTGCGGGTCAGAGTTGGTAATGCTCTGCCTGATAGGTGTTTTTGGGGCTCATGCGGTAAACAGTGGGACGATACTCACCAAACCTATACCTTGAATCCAAAGCAGTATGGCCATGGTTTCATTGGTGCTGTCATGACTTTAGGCATTCCCTTCCCAGTAGTCTATCGCAGATCTTGAAGTCCTTGCACGCATGCGGTCGTGTTTCCAACGAGGATCACGTGTCCTTCAGGCACGGCCAGGCCACCAAACACCTTGGTTTGGACCCCTACATGATAACTAGAGCATTCCCAAAGTAACCTCAACGCCCGCAACTTGCTTGCTCACTAGGGCTCAGACTGAGCCATGCAGCAGTCACCAACCAGCTGAGGCAGTCCAGGAGCCGCAGCAGGTCCGGTTTCCTCCAGCTCGCCAACGACGTCATTCCGACGCCGCCGTGCCCTTGCTGCCTCACGCGAATTCGTGACAAGTCCAGCTAGTTGACGGCTGCTACCACTACTGCAATGGCAACTGCTGCTGCCGCCGGTGCTGCTGCGGCTTCTATAAACACTACCATATTCACCATCCCTATCATCGCCGCCATCACCACCACTACCGCTCCTCCTCCTCCCCCTCCTCTACCAACTGCTTCTGCCACCCTGGCTGCCGCGACGACTTTTTTTCGTACGACTGCTACTCGCAACTACTTGAGCAGCAGCCACAATCCCAGCAGCAAGTTCGGTTAAACTATTTCTGAGAGTAGCAACTTTCCGAATACTCATCATTTGCGGGGCCGTGGAAAGGCTTTTTTCTCGGAGCGTGCTGCACGAGAACTGTGGAAGCAATTGCGTTACGTATCGATGTGTTTCCAGGTATGTGATAAAGCCGCCTCCCAATCCTTCTACACCCCCGCAACCGAATGAGAGCTGGGGGGTCTCCCCAAAGCTGCGGTCCTTGTTGTTTGACCAGATCGGAAACGTTTCATTCCTTAATAGTATCTGTGTTCGCTCCCCCATCAAGCAGCAGTATGTTAACTCAAGCTGGTTTTCTTCAGTACCCGCACGAAAGCCTTCCTAAACCCATGAAGGCCCTTCTGAAAAGTACAGTCGTCTGTACTGGGCTCCTTTGAGGCTTCCATGGGCCAAGAAGAACCCTAAACCCTAAACCAACCCCGCGAGAACCTCCCCCGCATCGTACAAGGCCTCAGTGGCATCCTTCTTCACTACGCCCTTCTTCCGGGAGAACAGCCGGATGAGCCTGGAGGAGTTCTATGATGGGTTTAAGGGTTCAGATTTAGAATTTTTGGAGTTTAAGGTTTAAGGGTGTAGATTTTGAAGTTTAGGAGTCTTAGGCTTAGGCATTCAGATTTTGAAGTTTAGGAATTTCAGGTTTAGGGGTAGATCCACCCGGGTACTCTCTTGTGAGACACATATGTGTTTAGCGCAGCAAAATTGCTGCTGGAGAGTCCTTGGGTAGTCTTGGGTGGTCTATGTGTCATCTTGCAGAAATCCTTGTACACCCACAGTTTCTAGTTTATTCGTGCGAGCCTTGGATGCAGGTACATATAGGCTTCATCTTGTGCTGCCAGAAATGGGGTTTTCCGTAACTGGACGGCCCGATCATAGACCTAAATATATGCCCCTAAATCCTAAACCCAAAGCCCCAAACATATGCATAGGGACTCCCAAAAAGATTCCTGGATCATCCTCTCATCTGGCAGTTTCTCCAAACTGGTTTAGGGTTTTAGAGTTTAGGGTATAGGGACACCTACAAACAGATTTCCCAGGCCATCTCCGCGCAATCCCCGATGACGAGGGTCCTTGAGGGTGTCCTCGTGTTGAGACCCCCCACGTCCAAATCATAATCCCTAAAAACCTTAATAACCACACCCTGAGCCATAACCTCTATGGTTTAGAGGTTAAAGTTTCAATCCCCAATCTCTACAATAAACTCCTGAGGTTGGTACGAAACCATACGAAGCCTCCCCATGAAGATAAATGTCTCCGCAGGGCCCGGGATGCGAACCGCTCACCGATGACTTCGACTACGAGTTCCTCGTCTGGATGGGCGATATATTGGGGTCACAATGGAAAAGAAATGGGAATGATAGGGAGAGTAGTGTATATTTTGGGCGTATATATTGGTGTTATATTGGGGTTACATGAGTTATATGCGTAACAGAGGAACTGGGGCCACCTCAGTGGTAAGGATTCTAATCTGTACGTAAACAATTGTTTTGTTCTTGGCTGGTTACCCAGGATTGGGGCCTGGGGTCTGGGATAGGGGAGGAATGTTTCATTGCGACCGCAGAAAAGGAAAAATGATTAAAGGCGTCCGTCCCACTTGCCCCACTCGCCCCACCTGCCTCGCTTGACCCCCCACTTGCCCAAATGGGGCAGGGTTCGGTTTAGGGCCCTCAAGTGGCTTGTCTGGAACCTCCGGACAGAGCAGGAGTTGAGGGGGCCACCCTGAAGTGGACCAAGTGGCAAGTGGGTCAAGTGGGTCAAGTGGGTCACGTGGGGCAAGTGGGTCTAGTGGGTCAAGTGGGTCAAGTGGGTCAAGTGGGCAAGTGGGCAAGTGGGGCAAGTGGGGCGAGTGGGTCGAGTGGGTCAATTGGGGCAAGTGCGTCAAGTGGCCGCGGAGCCTTAATCCCCCCCAACGCCGACACTCAATAATGTTTGGACTAATGTTTGAAGTATGCGATGGCAGTTATCTCAGGGCCCCTTGGGTTCTGATATGGAATCTTGGGCTTGAACTGCAATAAGGAAACCCTCTTATCTACTTTATACTAATAACATGGTAACTTAATTTAAGTTCCTTAACAGCGACCCAGTATATGGTGACTAGATAGTGCTCGTTGCGGCTGCTGCGACGTGGGAGCCTGAATACTGTTGGCAGGTTACTTGTTATACGTAACCACCTTTAAGGGTGTAGTATAGTTCCCTTCAAGGTTTAGGGCGTAGGGCTTAGGGTCCCATCATAGCAAATACCGTGTGCGTGGACTGACCTTTTGCGGGCGTAGGGTTGCCTTTGTCCAGATACTGGGGTAATAGCCGATGAGCTTACCACAACTGTAACCATGTCCACGTTGGATCGATTTTTGCTTAGAAGTACCATTCCTCATACAACGTCCTGGGAGCAATGGACAAGCAGAGAGAGAAAGCCTGAAGGCGTTCTGAATGCCGCCAAGGGGGTCAAAGTCTAGAAGGTTCCGCCTGCAGACGCCAAAAAAGCACGCACTACGGACAACCCTGGCCCTTAATCCCTAACACTTCGAGACCTCCACCCCCCGAATCCGCAACCCTACAGTACCTGCCATGCCAAGCTAATCCTAATAGAACCCTAACATAACACCATTATAACCCTAATGTAACCCTAACACAACCCCACCACAACCCTAAGATAACCGTAATATGACCCCACCATAACCCCAATATGAAAACTCTGAAGCCCGGAGCCGCAAAATTCACATCCAGATGAAGCCCTAACCGCGAAACCCGAGAACCCCACATGTGAAAAGCTAAGCCCTAGAGCCCTAAGCAAAACCAACCCTAGAACCTAGAAACCCTAGAAAATGTAGGTTGAGAAATAGCCCAAGCCCTGTATAACCTCAATATACCATGGTAGTGTCCATTTGCTTTTCCATTACCTCTATGACCCATATACTCCCTATGCAACCCCTATATTTACGCTAGAATCCCTGTAGTTTCAATTTTCTTTCCCATTATCCCTATATAACCCCAGTATAATCTAGACCTTCAGAGTCCCAGACAGCAGCCCTAGAACCCCAGACCCGAAAAGACCTCGGGGCCCTAAAGCCCCTTACAACCCTTTGAAGCTCTTTGAGCCCTAAAAACCTTTTGAACCACCCCAAAACCTTGGCAACCCCCAAAGCCTTTAGGACTTCACAGTTTTTTGGGAATCCTCAAGCTCTGTTAATTTCAAAAAAAAAACCACCTAAAAATCCTCAACCCTAAACATTTAGAACCCTAAATGCCAACAAAAACTGCGAAACAAAGCTGCTGGAAGTCAGGTTCGAGCTTCTGGCGTGCTGGAACCGCACCGCCAAGCACTCTGCCAAGGTTGCTCCGGGCCTGGGTAGTGCCAATAGGGATAATGGATTAGGGTTTAGGGTTTAGGGTTTAGGGGAAAAGAAAATGGAAACTCCTAAAGTATATCGGGGTTATATAGGGATAATGGAAAAGAAAATGGAAACTCCTAAAGTATATTGGGGTTACATAGGGATAATGGAAAAGAAAATGAAAACTACTATAGTATATTGGGGTTATATAGGGATAGTTGTTAGTATTCTGCGAACATAGATGCGGGATATATAGAGGTAGAGAGGGATAGGAATGGTGTCCCTTATAGAGGAGACTCGAATGGAAAAGAACATTGAACATGATATGGAAACTGGCACTATACAGTGGTTTATGGGCATTAGGGAACGTGAAGTAGGGGTTTCTTCCTAGTGTTTGGTGAGTGTATATAGGGTTCCTGAGGAACATGGGTGAGTGTATGTGCTGGGTGTCCCATTTGGAGGACCCACAGAGTAAGATCCTACCCTATATGAATAGTAGACTCTTACAAATACTAGTGCTCATGCTCACTTCTACGAATACTGGTGCTACTTTTCTATTAATGCTAGTGCTCAAGTTAGCGCTTGTATTATGATATGTGGGTTTAAGGTTTGGATCTAAAAGTGAAAGCTACTTTGCTATGGGTGGTTGAGGGTTTAGGCTTTTGCGTTTTCACGGGTTCAAGGTTGTAGTTTTGAGGGTTTCGGGCAGGTCGAGAGTTGTTTGCTTGGGCTCAAGGGCTGGATGTTTAGTATTTAGCACTTGGTTTAGTGGGCTGCGGAAAATCTACAAAGGGCCCCTTGTCTGCAGTAGAAACATTACCACGCCCAAGCCTAGAACGGAAAATGGACATACTTGATCTTGCTTCCAGGTTGAAGGTTTTTCGCACCTTTAGAGCCTGAACGTGTTAACCCTAAGCCTGAAGACCCGCAAGCTCAAGCCCCAAACCCTAAATCCTGCCCTACCCTAAATTCTGAACCCTAGACCCTGAACCCTAAATAGTAGTTTCCATTTTCTTTTCCATTGCCCATACATAACCCTATGAATCCCTATATATCCCTAAAAATGGGAGTCCGGAGGTGACGAAATTCCACCGCCTCGTCACGCGCTCATCTTTGACCAAGCTTCTCGGGTCGCAGAAGAGAAGGTTGCGGTTTCATTTTTCAGGGTTTAGGGTTTGGGGCTTAGGGTTTCTCAACAATGGCGCCGTGATGCCTGGAAGGTTTGTCTAGGACATTGATTGCAGCCGGGTTGAAATGATGACCCTCCTTCATTTTGAGAATATCCGCTGCTCCTTGTTCCGTCGTCTTCACATGGTATCCTGATATAGTCTGCTGTCACTTCATCTTATCAAATGCTTCGAAACTACATCGCATATCGCTCCACAAACCCCAGACGCCTAACCCCCACATCTGCAGGCAGACTGTTGTATTGCAGTTTGACGAGTCCAGTATTCACGTAGCCACATATGTGTCCAGGATTCCTACTGCAACTGGGAAAGAAAACCAAGCCGCTAAAGCCCCAAAGCTGTACTCTGAACCCTGAACCCTGGAGCAAAAGGTTAGAGACACTGGGTTAAAGATCTTCTTGGCTGATTTCACAAGGGACCCTTAACCCCCAAACTCCAGATTAACATCTTTTGCAACAGCTCCTGGGGCAAACCAAGGAGAGCCCCTTTGCCTAGTATATGCCACAGGGGTTCTATAGTCTCCAACATGGCGGGTTTCCCAGAATCAGGGATACCTTTAAAGGATTATACGGTTTCATAGGATTTTATGGGATTATATAGGGTTATATAGCATTATATGGGTGATATCGGGTTATATAGGGTTTAGGATTTCCCCAAATCAAAGATACCTTGGTGGGGTTTAGAATTTCCCCAAATGAAGGATACCATTGTGGGACATAGGGCTATATAGGGCTATCTAGGGTTTAGGATTTCCCCAAATTAAGATACACTTGTGGGGTGCGCATAATATGGATTATGGGATTTTTGGTCTATATTGATGTCCTTCTCTTTCTGGAAACTACAGTGCAGAGTAGTTAAGTCATATCCGGTACTATAGTTTCCAAGCTGAGTAATGACATTTTATCCTCTTTCTGGCTATAGAATTTCCTGGCAAGGATGTAGCGCCACTCAGCTCACTGGTGAACAGCCAAGGCATCTCAGTGACTTCCCTGAAAATCTGGAGGATGGTGGGGTGACTCAGGCCGCAACTGGCAGTTGGAATATGGGGTTACATAGGGGTTACATAAAGGTTATACATAGGGTTATGTAGAGTTTTTCTAAGAATATATGTATATATATATATACATTAGGGATATTAACCGATAGCGGAGAATCAAATGGACGAAAACTAGGAATATTAAATGGAGGCTGGTTTTCACAGCGGTTTATAGGGGTTGAACGTAGGTGCCGATTACGGCTGGATGTCAGTAGTTTTGGGAGGCACCTGTTCTTCTTTCAGTGCTCACTTGCGACAAAACCTGGCTGAGAATCCTCAATCCCCATGCTCGATGTTCCCTGCTCCACAGAGTCTGCTACATTAGGCACCTGAGCAAGCATGGATCGTCAATTCTTGAGAGTTGGGTTCGGAATGCTGGTCTAGGGTGCTATGACTCTGAATCATCGCGAAGCCACGCCCAGAAGCCCTAGGCTCCACACAATTCTGCCTCGCTGTGCCCCTTTCTGAGGCTGTTTTTATCATCAAGCCATTTTCCGTGAAAAAGATCGCCTGGGACCTCGTGGCTGGACTGGGAAGAAGCTCAAAGTTTGGCACGCTATGGTCTGAATTCCGGGGAGGGGAATGCAGGGGGCCTATGTAGGGCGGGGTTTATGAATGGATATGGAGACAGCGATGAAGTCAAATTTGAATCCCCTAATCCCCTTTCCACCGTAAGGAGGATACGCATTGTATCGAAAGGACCACCAAAATAGGAGCCACGATCTGCTTAATCTGCCAAGTAGCATTCACAGTCGTAGGGTTTAGGGTTTAGGGCCCTTGCAAAAGGAGACCCATGGCATGTCTTTATGGTATTCAGGTTGCTTTGCCCCCTGCGAAAAAGCAGAATGCAGCTCAGGTGATTTGCTGCATCGTCCTGCACGACGGCGCCTGGGTCAATCTTGAGAGAGTTTCTCCAACAGAGAAAGTGTTATCTTCTTCCTCGTTTTTTTTCTCGGAAATATAGTACTATCCTGTAGTAGGGTAATGGCTATTCCGAAAGGGGTGGCAGATCTATTGTCAGGAGAGAAGATTACTCCACTCGCCATTCCACCACAAAATCCGTAGATGCACGCTCCCAGGCCCTGCATGCACGCTGGGTTTAGGATTTAGGGTTTAGGGAGTTTAGGGTGCTCAAAAACATATCCAAAATCCTCATACCAAAGCATACGGCTATGTGTAGGTATGTGTATGGACCTTATCAGAGGCTTGTTCATGGCCCTTCCCAGGTAACTGAACCTCCCAACACGGCTGTGTGCTTGTAAATGCTACGGCTTCAAGTGCTCGACATCGTCAAGGGAGCGGAATTTCCAGAAATGCATGTGTACAGAAACCCGAGGCTAGCTGGTCGCGTCCCAGCGTGGGGTACAAGTATCGAAAACAGGGTGCAAGGTTTAGGGTTTAGGGTTTAATTAGACCCAAAACCCTAGACCAAACCCTGACCCCTGCATGCTGGAGTGAGCCGGGCGAGAGGGCAGGAAACACCAAGGCCTTCACCTCAAACCTGGACCCTTATTGGGACATAGCCCCCCTGAAGTGGATAGATGGATCCCCATACTATCTACTCGGGGGGGTGGGGACTGAATTGAATTTGTACTTTCCTTGTGAAGTTCTGTAGGGTATAAAATGAAAACTCTGTGTTCAACCGTGACTCTCAAACCTGGTTATTCATTGGGATAGTCTAAAGAGTTTCATTCTTGCATATTCATTGGGTTGGATATAATACAAACTTCAAATTGTATTCAGCAATGGCCCAGAAGCCCTGACTAAGCCCTAAACCCCAAACCCTAATTTCTTTACACATAATGACAGCCAAACTCTAAAACTCTAAACCCTAAACCCTAAACCCTAAAGGCCGTACGCCGTGTCTCAGGAATCGTTCTGCCGCTGCAGCTCCTCGGCATCCAGGTATCAACGCATCCTGCCAGCACGCCATGGGATTGTAAGAGGATTTTCGGGACATATAGGGTTTTACACGGTTTTATGTGGGTACTGGAAAAGAAAATGGAAACTACTATTTAGGGTTCAGGGTTTAGGATCTAGGGTTTTAGGGAAAACGGGTTGAGGGTTTAGGGTTTAGGGTTCAAAGGCTCAGGGCAAGGGATCCTGAATGCTGATAAAGCGATAACACAGGGTTATATAGGCTTATAGGCTTCAAAAGGGGTTGTGTAAGGCATCTTAAGAGCATCTTGGAGCGTGTAGGGTTTGCAGGATTCTGGGGGGCTTTCAACACATATTTCTACGCATCTCGGCATATTCCTAGATATCACATATCCACACATTCTGGGAAAGGCACTGAGCTGGTAGGGTCTAAGTTCAAAAGCACCGAGTGAGGTTTAGGGGAATGATTTATCCAACTCTGGAAAATCAACTGGAAGGGCACATGGAAAATTGAAACGGACACTTGCATTTATATTGGTTAAAAAGGATCATTTTGTTGGTTGTGGTGGTTGACCGTTGCAGATTCAGCATTGTTTCATCTCGAGGGGCTTTGTGGGGCTTCTGACGCACTAGGATCACAGGTATGTAGGTTACAAGTCAAGTCGCAAAAGGTGGCTGGGGGCCAGATGATAAGCCTCACCAGCAGCATGTTAGTGGATTTTCCCTAATACCTACATCCGAAAACCTACACCCCAGACCATCAACCCTATGTTGCCCTCAACTAAGCTTATTTAGACTTAGCAAGGGAGATTAGCGGGGGTTGAAGTACAGCCCTCTGATAATATCCCGTATAACCCGCACAAAATGTTGTAGCTTCCATTTTCTTTTCTAAGCCCTCGCCCTATACATGTAAAAAATCCCATGAACCCTAGACCCCATGTACTCACTTAGATGACCCGTGGGCCCCAAAAGGGCTTCCTAACTAATGAAACCCACCAGATGCCCCACACCTCGATTTCCCACAAGTTCAAATACAAGGTCCGATTCCCTGGCATGGCCGCTCACACTCGTTTGGACGACGGATTTGACGCTGGGCCACGGTTCAAGTTTGCCAGGATGCCAGAAGGAGCGAGCATCACATGTTTGGCAAATCCTGCGCCTTGCCAAGGATTGTGTCCAGCGTCATCGCGTATGAGCGCACCTTGGATGCAATCATCTTCAGCCTAAACCCTATACCCCAAGCCCCAAACCCTAAACCCCAAACTCTAAACCTCAAAGCCACAAACCGCAAGCACCACCTTCCCACCCAGGTACGGATGGCACTTGGGAGACGCGACTTCCATACACCTTTCGGCGATATTTGTCAGGCGTCGATGCGTGAGGGACACGTGAGCTACAGTCTAAACTCCTTAAAGGGGGTTATTTCGGGTTAAGTGTTCAGGGTCTTAACTCCCGGAAGGGGGTTATATAGGGGAGTGTTACAGGGGTTATTACGCGGGATACTAGGAGTTGCTTACAATAGGCCCGGACTACATTTAGAATCGAACTTCTGGAAGCAGCCGCATGTGCGCTGAATCTCGGTACTCGCCCAGAGTGTAGAGTAAAAGCGCAGGATTGACGCTCATCATTTTGGTCTGAGTTAGGGCTTAGGGTTTAGGGTTTAGGGTTCCTCAGAGTAAGTATGCTCTTAACCCGTCCTCCCAATCATGGTCCCCCCACCCCAGAATTGCAGGTTGTTCAGCATTAGTTGGGTGGGGTTGGGGTTGTTACTTGGGGAGTGGATTACAGGTGTCCAAACAAAAGACCTAGACTCAACATTCAAATCCTCATGGTTGTTTCTAATTAAGTATATACACCTATATAACCCTTCTTACGCCGCGCATACCGTTAAACCCTAAACCCTATGTCGCCCTAAAACCCCATGTAGCCCTAAACCCTAACCCTTCCTCCCTTGGTCCAGGCTCCTTCTTCCCAGACTTCGTGCTAGCGGCCTTGGCCTGGGTCGAGAGGTTTGTGGAGTCAGGGACCCTTTGCATGCACATGGAAGCCACTATTTAGGGTTTAGGGCTTAGGGTTTAGGGGGTTCTCCAAATAGCAGGCCCTGTAGAGGAGTGATAGGGATATGTAGGCATAAGGGTCCAGGGTTGAGGGTCTAGCAGGTTTCGAACAACAGGGAGCCTTTCACGACCCTAGGGATTTATGGAGTTGCGAGAGTCCTTAACCCTGAACCCTGAACCTTAAACCTTGAACCCTACACCCTAAACCCTGAACCCCCAAGCCTGAACCCTAGACCCTAAACCCTCAACCCTGAACCCCCAGACCCGAACCCTAAACCCTACACCCTGCTAAACCCTGGTTGCAGATTTCCAGATTTCCAGCCTTTCTAGATGTCAAGGCCCCGCTGGAAGAAGCTCTTGAAATCCTCTTTCTCGAAGTTTTGTTTTTGAGTATGTCTGGGGGTCCCCAATGTTATGAAATACTCATGTGACATTCAGAAGTAGCATCCGAGTTGAGTCGTATCTGATTTGAGCCTTGCCAGGGACTGTTGGTTCTACTTCTTTTCGCTCCTCAAGTCTCAGTACTAACTTCAAAGCCCCAACCCAGACTGAACCTTGTAATTCGGCTGGTGAGGGATTGCTTCTGTGGGGCTGATCTTCATGGCCAACAGCTTACGACCCCTCCATGTTCAGAAAGCCCTACACCCTAAATCCAAATCCCTAGTTCGTATACTAAGCCCTATCCCTGCCTGATGGCCATGCAAGCGGCAAAATCCTATCCCTTCCTGGGTAGGGAGAAGCCCCATAAGCAGCTGATGTCCGACAGCCTTTTATACTTGTTTTTAGATAACGCTCGTGTCGAGTGACATGCGCATCTAGATTCCCAAGACCCCATGCATCCCTTCATCATCTCAATTGCCATTTCATTTTCCTTTGTCTTTTCCATTGGAGTCTCCATCATTATGATTCCAGTTGTACAGGCCCATAATAACCTAGATCCCTATATATAGCTATAATGTAGACCCCAAACCCTAAACCCTGGAACACTAACTGAAAGCAGGTACGACACTGTGTAGCTCAGATGCAAACCTGTTCTCAGTCGTGCGATTTTATGTGCCCCCTCCCCCAGCTCAGTTTTGGGGGTGGTAAAAAGTTGCTCTACTTGGATGACAGCCCTGAGTAGATGCTGCCGACTCTGGGCGTCAGGAGCCCCACGGGCAGCGAGGATTGCAAAAGTCCGATGGGGTTGAAAAAGCACCAAACCCTATTTTATCGTTGACTACAATATTTGCACGGCCTTAGTATGCTATAGTACCATAATTCCTGAGGTTCAGGGTACCCAGGGTCATGCAGGAATTTCTCGCATCCGCCTTGTCTGATACCCCGAAACCTTAAACCCTTAACCGGATGAGCAGAGGACCTTCAAGTTCCTGCGTATCTGCCGACTCTTTCGGCTCTACCGGATCGAGGCGCAACCCTGAAGGCTTTAGGCTGTAAGGTTTAGGGGTATAGGGTTTTGGGGTTTTGGGTTGAGGGCATAAGGGTTTAGGTGTTTGGGGTTTAGGGGCTTGGGTTTAGGGCATAGGGGTTTGGGATTAGCCCGGCCATTGTCAAAGACCTGGATTCAACAAGGGCTCACCGCCAGCATGGGGACATTTGTCGAAGCGGGAGTTTTTCAAAAGGGAGGCCGAGGGGTCTGGCCTGGAGGAGTGGATGCAATAAAGGATAATGGAAAAGAAAATGGAAACTGCAGGGATTATAGGGATTATATAGGGGTAAAATATAGGGGTATAATATAGGGGTTATATTGGGATAATGGAAAATAAAATGGAAAGTACTATAATGGAGAATCAAATGGAAAAGAAAATGGAAAATGAAGTGGAGTATATTGGGGTCATATTGGGGTTATATTTTTAAGTTGGGATTCGTTCCAGGAATGTCCAAATCATGAGAGCCTTAGGGCGTCTAAGCAGATTGTAGAGGGCTGTGTATGAGATATGTGGGATGTAGGGTTTTGGGGACGTGCACGCTATTATAGAATCAAGGCAATGTTTAATACTTTCCCAACATATTACCATCACATCCCTTAGGGGTTTTTGTTAAGCCTTATAGTCCCCCTTACATAGATAGAATATGGGGTATATGGGGATCTTCTTATAACATACCCCAAGCTATATTCTATGTACTTCAGGGGGACTAAACGCTGAACCCTGGGGGCATGGCTGCTCCTGCCTTGGAGACCTGAAATAAAGGTGGACATGCTGAGGGGGTCGTTCGAAAGGAAATATACTCCATTTCATTTTCCATTTCTTTTCCATTTGATTCTCCATTATAGTAGTTTCCATTTTATTTTCCATTATCTCAATATAATCCATATATATTCCCTATAATTCCCTATATAACCCTATATCATCCCTATAGTTTAAGATTCCACAGCTTTAGTCTTGCATTCCTGGCATTTTTGCTTGCAGCTTTCGTGTCGTATCGCTAGACGTGTGTAGATTTCCAACTTACCTCAGATCAAGGCTCGTTTGAGCGTTGCAAGCTCACCTGTCCTGCAGGGACAGCTGTTTTTTGCAGCCCTCAACCCGTGAGGCCATCATACAGCTCATCTCCAACAACATCCGCGCGGGCGCTCAGAGTGGCACAGTGGGTTGTTTGGGTCTTGTCTGTTCAGGAATGCACCAAGATTTCCTCGTAAGCTGGCAGGGCCGAATTGTGAAGGTTACGCGCCGGACGGTTCACGCCTCATGGGCATTTCAGAAGTAAGATCCCCGCACCAAAATCATCAGAGCATTTCATATGCAGGCCCCCAAGAGGCGGCACAAACCTGTTTCAAGCCTATGCGCTGTCTGAACACCGCATGCCTCAACCCTGAAACAACAGCAGCTTGTTTAGGGGCTGACCCATTGACATCCTCAGAAGCAACTGTTGCTAATCGCGTACCGCTCCGCTTGCGTCAGAACCACATCGCAGGATGGCCCATGGCCACAAGCGTGCACTGAAAACCGTCTCCTGCTTCAATCTCGCCGTCAAAGGTGAGCGGTATCTCATACTAATACTACGAGTGCTATGATTATTACCCATATAACCACTAATACGATTACTGTTATTGCTACTAGTATTCGTATTGCTATTATTAATACTATAACTAACTTGCTGCGGTTCCCTCAAGTGCAACCCCCTGTTAAGCCTTCGCACGCTTTGATGCCTGGCCGGACAGCTAGAGGTAGCCACCAGGCAGGACAGTTGTCTCCATGGAGCCCCCTAAGCCTTGCCACATGTACTTCTTCCCAGGATCCCGGAAGCGATAAGAATCGCATCCTGTGGACCTGCTATTGTTACTATTAGTTGTTAGTTCTTTCCACCAGTTTTTGCTACTACGAGTAGTATTACTTTTAGTATTCTTAGTATCATTACTATTACTAACATGCTGCTGCCTGGAGCTCGCAGTGCACAGATGGGTAAAGTGATGAACGGCTGAGCTACGGCTAGAATCAGGACTCTAAACCCCAAAGTAAGCGGTATACTTTAGGAGGACCCCCCCACCCTGTAATAGTGGTTTAGTAGGAATATAAGAGGACCCTAAAATAATCCTTATTATCCATAATATCACTATTACTGGGTGGGGGGTCCACCTAAGGTATACTGCCTTCGTGTATCCCAACCTTTTTACTGCCGCTGGGATGCCCCCGTCAATCTACAGCCCAGATAAGCTATAGTCTGAACTCCTTAAAGGGGGGTTATATAGCAGATTATATAGGGTACTAGTATAGGGGTTACTTCTTTACTAACAGCCAGGAAGTGTTTTTCTCGACCCTATGCTTAGGCTCGGAGCGTGCGGTCTTGTGCATCGGCATTTCAGGCCGCGGCTGGTGTGGTGCAACGGATGGATCCGTTGGGTCTCTAACATGCGTTTTTCGATAGATGGGAGGCAACACTATAGAACCCAATATATATCACCGTCATCAAAGGTATCCACGCAAAGGTCCCCGAATTGCTAGAACCCCCCCCCGCATGTTGAGAACATTCCTGAGTTTGTTTAGAGAAAATGCAACCCGTAAGTCTAGATCCTGAAGTGAGCGCTTGTGTCCTTGGACCCTAATCCAGGAAGTAAGCAGTTTCAAAAATGCAGGTCTCATTTCTTGTATCCAGAAAAGGCAGGTGCCGCATCATGAGTCATACCAAAACGGGAACATCATTGACCCTAAGCCCTAAGCCCTAAACCCTAAGCGTGGCTGCAGGGAAGATCCTGTGGCTGGCCGTGTTCCTTCATTTCATCGCATGCCTTTGGCTTAGCCTCGGGCGGCAGGACACGGGCTGCAGTTTTTGCCCCGGAAGTTGAGGGTTGAGTGTGTAAGGTTTAGGGTTTAAGGTGTGGCTTTCAGGGTTTAAAGTGTAGTAGGGCTGAGGGTCTGGTGTCACCTTTGCCGGCTCTAGGCTTCTGAGGGCTTTGTCCAAAGAGTAACTGAAGACTGGTGAAGGGTAATGTCGCAGTTGCAAGTACCCAAGAGGATTTAATTGGAGGCCTGAAGCACGGGCTAGTGCTCCTGCTGTTTCTATGGGTATAACATAGAACCCTGCAGGAGAGAGACAGAGACAGAGAGAGTATATGAGCGCAGAGACTCGTCGGGTGCAGGGCTGGGCACTGGGGGGGTAGTAGTACCCCTTTACAAACTCAAGGAAGGAAGGAAGTATATGAGCTATAATCTAAACTCCTTAAAGGGGTTATATCGGTGATTATATAGGGCATTACTACAGGGTTATATAGGGTACTAGGAGTTTAGACGATGGCTCATATGGGGTCTAGAGGGGTGTGGTCCAGAGAAGCCCAACACGGGCTGGGCAGGAGCCCGGGATGGCTTCCCAGCCATCCCATAGCCCGCACGAAAGAAAGAAAGTACATTGGGGATATATGGGGATAATGGAAAAGAAAATGGAAAGTACAGGGGTTCTAGGGGTTACATGGGGCTTTGTAGGGAGTATATGGTTATATAGGGATAATGCAAAAGGAAATGGAAACTACTATTTAGGGTTTGGGGTTTCGTGTTTAGGGTTTAGGTGTTGGCTGGTATGGCCAGAAACCTGTCAGTACTCACCTTCTCCAAGCAAATGGACCCTTCATGTCATGGACCCGCTTCGAGTAGACAGTAGTGTTCAGGCTTTTAGGGCTCCATGTTTCATGTCAGCGCGGGGGGGCACCATAAACCCTAAAGTCACAAGTCTTGCCCCGGGGACGATCTTAAGCCGCAACATCCCACCCACCTTGCCAGGAGGGTGGTTGGGTCTCCTACCACAGGCCTGGCACAACCGACATCCAGCAGCACATCGGTCGCAACAAGATGGCTCCTGCTAGCGTTACCGGTTCCAGATTTTGGGCCGGAGGGTCTAGAACTAACCTAAACAGCTTTAAGAGGGCTTTGGGTGGATGCCCTCAGATTGAAAAAGGGAATATTCGCAAGCGTCAGTAGCTGTCCAGGCTCCTATGGAAAGGCTCCTGCAAATAATAACCAAAAAAGCAGGGAGCGCGTTCCCTTTTTGGATTCAGGTTGGCCAAAGTTCCCTTAAACCGCAAATGCCAAACCGCATTCAAAACCTTGGTCAAACGGGGAGGTACAGCATTGCCTTCCATTGGACCCTGGCGCAATTCCATGGGTCCATGGAGTTGTATCCTGTCACGGTGGAGGAGATCCGGGTGCATGGGTCGGGATGCTTTACAGGGGTTATTTAGGGATAATGGAAGAGAAAATGAATATTGGGATACGATAGGGTAATATAGGGATACTGGAAAATAACATGGAAACTACTATGTAGGGTTTAGGGTGTGGGTATAGTCTTAACTCCTTCCATAGTTTTAGCGTGAGCTCCTGCTGCAGCGCGCCCATCTCATCAGCGTGATCTTGTCAATGTCATCACCATGCTACCCATCATCTTGGTGGCATCCATTCCAAACCCTAAAAGTCCAGGTTGTTAGTAGGGAGGACTGGATCACTACTTTCCCCATGACAATATTCCTACATTCCCTGCGAATCACCGGGAAACAAACACTTGCTAGGAGCGGATTTTTGCCTTCTGCTACTTGCTGATGGCCTATGTCCTTGCCGTGGTGTTCATCTCAAGCATGACGTCCGCCATGACGAGGCTACTAGGGGCCGTTTGAGGTTTGATTTAGGGGTTGTAGGGTCTACGGGTTTAATGGTTTAGGGTTTAGGGTTTTGGGGTTTGATTTAGGGGTTGTAGGGTCTACGGGTTTTAGGGTACAGGGGATCAGGGTTGAAAGGTTCACGAGTCATGTTACTGACGGGCTTCGGGCCAAGACAAGCATGCCTGATTCGCCCCCACTTGATGGGAAATTTGTCGTTTAAAGAGGCCCTGTCTATTTCCCTATTCAACATGCCCCAGGTGAATGCAGCCACAAAGCTTAAGCAGTAGTTATGCGTCTCCTTTTGGAGACCCTTTAAGGCTGAGGGGTATGAGTTTGGGGTTTGCTGCATACTGCATAGTAATTCGTGAAATTCAGATTTAGTAGGGAGAGCAGTGGGTTCTATCTTGCCAAGTGCAAGCATCTGGGTTTGATGCCCGCCTCAAGGAGCCGCGCAGTTGAGACATTGAAGAAGTGCTGGAAAGGGATGTTGAGAGTTTCCAATTTCCATTATCCCTATACAACCCCAATATGCTATAGTAGCTTCCATTTTCTTTTCCAGTATCCCTTTCTAACCTCTAGACAACAGCTGTTTAGATGTTTCGGGTGCTGAGCCTTGCTGAGGTTGTACCTCATCACTGGCGTGCAGGCAGGGCACCAGCGAGTGCTGCGTTGGTTCCTGATTGATGCTTGGCCGTTCAATGGTGGCTTTTTCATGATCTAAAGGCTTTCTAAGGATGGCCCAAGTTTATGGTCCTCGGCATCAGTCCAGCCGCGATGAGGCAGACCCTCATAATAGAGTCTTCAAATTTGATCAATTGTGTCTAACTCAAACCCAAAAGCCTTTACCATAGTAGTTTCCATGTTCTTTTCCATTATCCCAATATTACCCCAATATTACCCCAATATTACCCCAATATTACCCCAATATTAAGTATGAATGTCATCAGGAAGCCCATCTTCATCATGAGTTTCGGCGATTGTTGAAACCCACTTCTGGTATGGCGTTTCCAGTTGTGTCAGTCCCAAGTGTGCAAGCCAGGCTCTTGCCAATGGCCGGCGACATGGGAGCCATGCATGGGTACGGTTCCATTCAAGTTATAGTTGCAACTTATACCCCCTTCTCCCGTGTCGATGCTGTTCTTGAGATTTGCTATACTGTCTTTCCTCATGCCAGATGAATCTCTAAACGCTCTAAACTCCGCGATGTGGATCTTCGACGAAGGGAGCTTACATGAGCATTTTCCTTGATCCATCTTGGTTTCTCTGCCTCTATCATGTAGGATGAGCACCTGGGATATATCCTGAATCCTAAGCCCTAAGCTCCAATCTTAAAGCTTTGCTTCGATTGCCCCAAGCAGGGCCCAAGCAAGGACAATGGTATCTCTCGACAGTTGACGGCGAGAATTCACTCCAATCTGAACCATGGATGCGCAGATTTTTTGGGGAATTATGTTTTGGGTGTAGGGTAGTTAGGGTTTAGGGTTTTAGGGTTTAAGGTTTTAGGGCTTGGTTTTTTTTTTGGTTTGGCGGTTTAGGGTTTAGTGTGTAGGGTTTAGGGTTGAGGGCGCGACCCGAGTATTCTTCTTCTATAATACCGGAATATGGAATAATGCAGGGTGTGGTCAGTCAACAGTAGTGGTAATCCGCGCTCTTGATTAGAAACGGGGCCCACTCCCTCGAATAACAAGCCTCCACAGAATCCAGTTGCGCAGAACAAGGACTAATGGTTTTAAACGGAAAAGCCTCCGACTCTTCGGATTTCTAACTTTCAAACTGCACCTCGCACCATGTCAAATCTGAACCTTTTTTCTTAGGAGCTGGAAATTCTTTGCTCGAGTTCTATTTGGTTTTCAATTAAACTAGGTTTTCACCCCCTAATCAGTCTGGCCCCCCCACATTGCTTTGAATCCACAGGGTTTTATTGATCGAGAGCGTGGGCACCCCAAACCCCTGCCACAGCACCTTGGAGACGTGGATGTCGCAAGCACATCAGAGCCGCTTGAGATACTGCCGTGAGCACGATGCCATTTACAGTATGTATTCAGGAGGCTGGCTCAATTGGCTTCTGAGATCCATATGATGGTTTTGTGTATATGCATATGGTAGTGTCCCAAAACAGGAGGACCCCAATATAGACCCCGAAATATTAGAATCCTTATTATGGGAACCCCCAAAATGGTACCCACAATTTCGAGAAACTCCATATTTAATTTCTGTTGGTATATATCCGCCGGTTCCAAAGCACTGCGACGGGTCCTGCCTTGCATCAGTGGCACCTTGTTTTCCTTCAGCCAACCCCAAGGCTTAATTTTTGGATCCAGTACCACGATTGGTCCTACTACTTTCATGTGTAGTGCTGTTATGACGCGTCACACCGATTTTGGGCGGATGAGTACTGGCTGTGCTTATGAACTAGTCAGCCACTTGAACCGAGTGATACGGGGGGTGGGGGGCGATGGGTTGCAGTGGGCAATCTTCTGGCGTGCTTGAGGGTTAGGTCTAAGATCCCGGGCTAAAACAGGGGTACGTTTCAAGATGACTGTTAGTTTCTTATTCCCCTTGATTCCCATATAATCCTTATACTGCCCTAAAATTAGCTTCTCATAGGGCCACCAGACCTACCCTAGCAAAGCTTAAGTGATTGACGCCACTTGGCTGCATTGCTGGCCATGATGTTTTCCAATTCAGTCAGCGGATCATCCAAGGGGTCATTCTCGGCTAGGAACATGTAGTGAGTCAAACTCCTCAAAGGGGGTTATATAGTTGACTCGATAGAGGATTATACAGGGGACTAAGGAGCATACTAGGAGTTTACACTACAGCTCAAGTGATACCCTACTCTGAGGAAGCCAAAAAACCTCAAGCCCAATCCGTATGTGCTTATGCATCAGCCATTGTAATTAGAACCATTAGTGTATACTTTCTTAGAACTACTGTTATGCCTTAACCCTAAATCTTAAACCCTAAGCCCCAAATCCTAAACCCAAACCCCAAACCCTAAACCTCAGCCCTCTCCACAAGCCCCAAGCTCTACACCCTAAACATAACCCTAAGCCCGAACCCTACATCCCCAAATAATGAATTCAGTAAACCTTCATATACCCATTATATACATTTGCAAGCCTCCCCTTCTATCTCCGATATCCCTAAACCCTAAACCCTAAACCCTAATCCCTAAACCCCTGAACCCCTAAACCCCTAAACCCCTAAACCCTAAACCCCTAAACCCTAAACCCTAAACCCGGGTGTTCGGCGCCTGCTCCAAGGAAGGCTGCGCTGTCGGCCCAGTCGCATGCTGTTCCAGAGTCTGAGGCCAGTCCTGTGGGATAGGGGGTAGGGTTTAGGGGGTTAGGGTTTAGGGTTTAGGGTTTAGGGTTTAGGGTTTAGGGGTTTAGGGTTTAGGGTGTCAGGGTTTAGGGATTATGGATTAGTAGCAGAGGGTGCAAGGTGGTTATTTGGGGTTATAGGGTTTGGGTTGTAGGGTTTAGAGGAATTATGTTTAGGGATTAGGGTGTTAGGTTCATGGTTTAGGGTGTTAGGGTTCAGGGATTAGGCTTTAGGGTTCAGGGATTAGCGAACTAGGGACTAGGGATGAGGGTTTAGGGATTAGGGTTTAGAGCCTGGGTTTAGGTTTTGGAAGCAAGATAAAAGGGCACATATGGACAGGGAGATATGGGGACATATAGGGATATGTGGGGATGGATGGGGTCATGCAGCGACATAGAGGGATGCGTAGTGGGATAGAGAAAATGTAGGGATACAGGTGGATATATGTGGACATGTAGGGAGATATGGGGGGAGAAAGGGAAATATAGGGAGATGTGGTGATATATACCCTAAACCCTTAACTGCCTATGAGGGTTTACAGTGGTAGTTACGCAGGCTCCTACATTGTGGACCTGTGAATTGACAATTAGGGCTTACGGTATTTGGAGGGGGGGTCCGGCTTAGCGCTTTTTAGTGGTTAGCAGTGGCGAAGTCATATTAGGGCAACACGGAAAAGACCATGGAAAATGAAATGGACCCTGCCAATTATTTAGGGAGTGTTGAGGGAATGGAGAATCAAACGGAAGGCAAAGTGGAATATGACATGCAAACTGCTTTCACATAGAGGGTTTTATCGGAACTGTTGCTGCTATTGTGGTCCTAGGTTCCTTGTAGACTTATCGTATAGGATACTTCAAATGGACCTCAACATGATATTGGAAGCTATTCAGGCTTTACATTATGGACTTTGCATGTAGGGCCGTTTTGAGGGATTTAGGGGTTTAGGGTTTGATTACAGGTAGGGTTCAAATATCAGGGGCTGGAGGATTTGGGCTGTATGGCTTGGAGTGCTAAAGGCGCGCACGGAACCCAAAGAGACAACAGCCCAAAGGGCTTTCAGGTTCCATGCTTGCTTGGGGGGACGAAGCTTCAAGGGAGAAAGGCCCTCAGCAAAAGCTATGCAAACGATTTAGGAAAATGGGTGCTGCTTTGGATTCACGAGACGTCCGATAGTATGATAGTAGGCGGCATATCAAAGCTTCCTAACT